TTTTTGTTTTTGTTCCCGTTAATTAATAATGATTTTTTTTTTTTTGTGTTGTCCCTTTTTTTTTTTTTTGTTTTTGGGTCCTTCTTCCCCCCCCCCCCCCCCCCCCCCCCCGATTTTAGGATGGGTCAAGACTTTTGACAAGTACTTCACAGACCAGACACAACACATTTTAAACAACATGGTTGTGAAGCTGGCTGAGGATCCTCGCCGGAAGTTCATATGGTCTGAGATTTCCTTCTTCGCCAAGTGGTGGGAGACTGCAGATGTGTATAAACAGGAGGCCATGCGCAAGTGAGTCACAGTTAGGTGAAGCAAACATAGCTCATTATCTTCAGAATTAGTAGATGCAGACAGTTGAGCCTATAAGCACTACACAGCAGGGCATACCTGCTGCCAGATTATTCAAGATCTAAAAATAGTCTGCTGTCTGGTTAGTGCAACTCGTCACATTAGGGCTGGATTATTCTCACCTTGCTTCTCTTAATCCATTCTTTTTAACAGGCTAATCCTTGGAGGACAGCTGGAGATGGTGACAGGAGGTTGGGTGATGACGGATGAAGCCAACGCTCACTACTTTGCCATGATAGACCAGCTCATTGAAGGGCATCAGTGGCTAGAACAAAATCTTGGTACACACTCGATCAGCAACGATTCCTTTTTCAAGCACTGGCATTTTTATTCAGACGAATGGTGCAGAAATGTTGAAGTGACTCCACTCTGTGAAGTTTAAGGACTTGTGCCTTCCCATGATTCTAAATTATTCCACTCCTCAGTGTGCTTGGTAGTAAAATTGAGGCTCAGCATCCCACATGCAACAGATGTGGCGCCTGCCTCTGCAGGCGATAAAATGATTTGTGGTGTTTTCTGTGCATCTTGCATCCTAAATGCATCTCCCTCTTTGTCCAAGCATTTAACTGAAGTACTTGCTTCTCACTTGTTTTCTAGGTGTAACTCCTCACAGCGGGTGGGCGGTAGACCCCTTTGGCCACAGTGCCACCATGCCTTATTTGCTGAAGAGGGCTAACCTGACCAGCATGCTCATCCAAAGGATCCACTATTCAATAAAAAAACACTTTTCCTCCACACGCAGTCTGGAGTTTATGTGGAGGCAGGCATGGGGTGAGTGGAGCAGCGCCAGCAACATCTTATGATTCATGTGCTTATCTTCAAGCTCATTTAAAGAGGAGCCAAGCCACTTGCCAATGGAGTTAAAATGGAGAAGAATTTTGGAAAGCTCACACTGAAACGATCTCAACAGTGCTGTCTTTAGTCGTCTTTTTCTTTCAGCTGTTCCCTGTTCAGAGGTTTTCACAGCGACTCATCTTCCTCCATCTCACTGTCTTTTACCTCTTCGCTCCAACTCATCTCTAACTGCATCCACGTATCTCCTCTTTGGCTTTTTGTCTGTTGTATAATTTCTGAAAATAGCATGGCTGCCACAGGTCTGCTTGTTTGCTTTTAAGTGAAAGTATCACAAATTTTTAGATATCAGTTTTTACATTGCAAGTACTTAAAATGATATTTAGTCATTTTTATATTTTTATCATGAGATCACTGGCAGTAAATGTATGAGCATGATGTGTCTATGTTCCCCAATGTCAAGAGAAAATCATGCTTTCTGTGTCACCTTCATTATATTTGGTTTCTGAACTACTCTTAATATTGAATATTTTCTAACTTAATAAATTTTTCTACTTTTGATTGTAATTCTTTAACAGACACTGGGTCGAGCACGGACATGTTTTGCCACATGATGCCGTTCTACAGCTACGATGTGCCTCACACCTGTGGGCCCGATCCAAAGATCTGTTGTCAGTTTGACTTTAAAAGGTTACCGGGAGGTCGGATCAACTGTCCCTGGAAAGTGCCGCCAAAATCTGTGGTGGAAGCCAATGTAGCAGAAAGGTGAGCATTTAGTTCCTAAACTGATGAGGACAGAAGTAATGAACTGTAATTGGGATAAATTGTTGCTCAAAGGGTTCATCAGGTTAGATTGTGAAGTTTAACTGGCCAGAAAAAAAGCTTGTGAAGACATTTTGTTGCATGTGTATTAGTGTTCGTTCTAAGTTAGGGTGTCCTCTCTACAACATTTTTGTTTCCATTCAAATTCAGTAACGCACATAATGAGTGTCATTGCTGTTGCACTTTGTAATGGTCTCTTAATAAACTGCTTGAACTCATGCCAGTGACAACAGCCAGAGTGGAAATGAACTAAGGAATGTGGACATGAAGTGCTTATAGTCTTGGAACCACATTATTATTATCATTGCAGCTTTTAGAGCCTGTATTTCAGTGAAAACTACCTCGAGAGCCAATTAAACCTTTTTTTTTTCTTTTCTAGAGGCGTAGGGATTTCCTAACGAACCCGCTGTACTTCTCAGTTTAATTTTATTCCTCTCACCCTTTTCTTTCATGCAGAGCACAGCTGCTTCTGGACCAGTACCGTAAAAAGTCCAAACTCTACCGCAGCAAGGTGCTCCTCGTTCCTCTAGGAGACGACTTTCGCTACGATAAAGCCCTGGAGTGGGATCAGCAGTACGTCAATTATCAGAAGCTGTTCGACTACATGAATTCTCACCCTGAGCTGCATGTTCAGGTGAGAAAAGAATTTTACACTTGTCACAGTGTTATCAAAATGTTTTATTTAACAAAAATTTTGGGTCATAAATCATTTTATTGTTTGTACATCTCTGCATGAAGTTTTCCAGTGCACGAATGAATTATGCAGCCATGTTATAACTTGCTTGACAGAACAAAGAATGTGTCGTGATTTGATGCCTGACTCAAAAGCTGCAGTGCAACATGAAAAGCCCACAAATAATAAATGAAAGCCATTTCTTTTGTTTGGCTGTGTTTGTTTGGGAGTTTTCTTTTTCGAACTGTTCGGTCATCTTGTTCTTACAGGCTCAGTTTGGGACTCTGACGGACTATTTTAACGCTGTATACAAAGCTTATGGAGTCGCTCAAGGATCTAGACCCGGTGACTTTCCTGTTCTTGGTGGGGATTTCTTTGCCTATGCAGACCGTGAAGACCACTACTGGACTGGTTATTACACTTCTCGACCTTTTTACAAAAGCCTGGACCGTGTCATTGAGTCTCATCTCAGGTAGGTCAACTTTATTAACACATCACTCAACAAGAAAACGGAGTATTAAGGGTCTGTTGTGTAACAAAAACACAGTTTAAAAAGAAGAAAAGTGGTCAGTGGTTATTATTGAGGTTTTATCATTCTAAAATGCGGGTTTGAGCCCAGGTTTCTTCAGGGAGGACAATTGTTAAATTGTTTGTTGGCTGTGGTGACCCCTGAGGAAGGGAGCTGACAAAACAGAAAATAAATTAGTATTCTTGTTTATTCTTAAATCATACCAGAAAAGCAGACGCAGTTTTGAAGTTCATATGTACACGTCTTTTGTCATACTTCATTTGGGTGTTGGAGCATATTGTTCATGTAGGCAAAAAAAAAAAAAAAGTTTCAACAAAGGAATTAAGAAAAAAAAAAAGAGCAACAAAATGATCTAAAATATCCTAACATGTTCAAAAGGAGCAGAAAAAAACTCTAGCTTTTTAAATAACGTACCTTTTCTCTACTTTTCAGCTGTCACAATGATCAGTTGCTTCCTTTCATCTCTAACTTGACACATGGTTTGCCATCGTGTCATTGTTGCATATCCTCCAAGTACACACATTGCTCATAAAATTGTAAATGCACAAACGCTTTAACATTCACATAAAAACCACAAAAGTACCGTGTATGTAATATACATGTAAAATGCTCTACTAAATAAATTATAGATCTTGTTACTTTTTAGTTGTTGCTTCTTTAACTATATGCAAGTGTTTCTAATTATGGGATATGAACACATTTGTAGCTCACCAAAGAAAACAGTTTTTATTCATCAATAATTAATAATTTTTTGTTGCTGTCCTTCAGGGGAGCAGAAATCCTTTATAGCCTGGCGGTTGCCAACGCTCGTCATGCAGGTATGGAAGGACGCTACCCCGTGTCAGATTATGCCCTGCTGGTTGATGCAAGACGGTCAGTTGGCCTCTTCCAGCATCACGATGCGATTACCGGCACTGCGAAGGAGAACGTCGCCATCGATTATGGCAACAAGTAAGGCGCTGACGGCAGAAAAATACATCACATTATAATAATAATTAAAAAAAATCACATACCTGCTTTGTGATGTCTCATCCTGTCCTTTTCAACACATCAAAGCACAATAGTGACCATTTCTTCAGGGACCGTTGACGTGAGCAACTTCTATTTCCTGCTACACCTTTAGGTTACTGCGTGCACTTATCGGACTGAAGAGAGTTATCATCAATGCTGCTCATTTCCTGGTGATGAAGAACAAAGAGTTTTATCGCTTTTACCAGACAGAGCCCTTCCTGGAGACGGTGAGGCAAAATGCAGACTGACACTTTTGTGTTTTCAGAACAAAAAGGAAACTTAAGAATCTTGCTGCATATATTCAATATATGGTCTTCATTATATCTAACATCTATAGGATGACAGGCGTGCGACTCAAGACTCTCTGCCTCAGCGCACCTTAATCGAGCTGGACCCAGCAGGACCCAGGTATTATCTTTTCTTTCCTCTCGAGTCCTCTCTCAGCCAAATCCCAACATCCTGTGCTTAAAATTTGTATTTTTTTTCTGCCAGGTATCTGGTTCTGTTCAACCCCATCGAGCATGAGCGCCTGTGCACAGTGACCGTGCTGGTCAACACAGTCAGGGTGCGGGTGCTTACCGAGGATGGACAGACTCTTCCTGTGCAGCTGAGTGCTCAGTGGAGCTCTGGGACTCAGATGAGCGCTGAGGTATTCGAGGTAAGATGTTTACGTTTCTGCACAGTTCAGCAAAGGCTTTGACAGACGTATCATTTATTTGTTCCAATTATTCTCTACTTTCACATATAATTTATTTGTTCCTATTTATTTATTCTACTTTCACATATTTTTTTCACTCAGGAGCACAACTTTGGTTGTTTTTTTTGGTAAATTAAAAGTGGAAAAAAGGTTCAAATCTTTTCTCGAGTCTGTATATGTGTAAGCATTTGCTCTTATGTGCCTTTGCAGTTTATTTATTTATGATTTGGATCTTCTAAATAAAAAGCTGCTCACTCACTGGAAAAATTAAGTGTGACACAAAATACAAAGGCTCTAATTAACACCGTCTTTGTTCACACGCTAACTCCTGCACTGTTGCTAATTTGTTAAAGCTGCAACATTTTAATCGGTGCCTTTTGATCAACACTTGACCTTCTAATTTAAAAAGGGGAATGAAGCCAGAACCTTTTCAACGAGAGCCTTTTTGTTTTCACTCTGTTTATGATCATTACTGATTTTTCATTTTTGTGCGTTTCTACCTAGGCAACATTTATGGTTCGTTTGCCGCCTCTTAGTCTGGCTGTTTTCCATCTGTATGACTCTCCGGACTCGCCCATGACGTTCCGCTCGGACACGGTGCTCAGGCTGTCTAGTCGTAGCGTCACTGCTAGGGCAGTTGATCCACTTCCTGTCCGCTCTCAGCTCACTGACTCGCAGACCTTCTACATTAGCAGTCAGGCCCTAACCCTGGGTTTCTCTGGAACCACTGGACTACTGGAGGTATTTGCTCTGCTTCTGTTGCTCTTTAATCTATATGAAGGATTTACTAATCCGTTTTCACTTCGATCTTTCTGAAGACTAAACTAGAACTCCAAATACTTTGTAGCAGCCTGAGCAAAGAGAATGGGGCTCGTCTTGTTGCTACAGAATCAATCTTTCATCTTGATCTACTTGCGTTCTGTGTTTTTTCATCTGCAGAGTATCAAGCGGAAGGATGATCCTCAGGAAGTGAAGGTTCAAATGCAGTTCGTGGTCTATGGCACGCGTCCTTCGAAAGACAAAAGTGGAGCTTACCTCTTCCTGCCTGATGGAAAAGCAAAGGTATTCTTAGTTATGTCACATACGTTGCGTTTCCATCTAAAGAGCTTTGATGGAGCCTCCCATGGGTATCCTCATTTTATCCTGCTGGGAAGCTCAGGGCAGAACAGACTGGCTGTTGTCATCTCTGGATTTAAAGACCCAAGTATAAAGACTCATCTTCTGCACCGTATTACGTTGGCTGTTGTGTCCTATTTTTTCGCTTCTTGTCTTCATGACTGCTCCGTCTCTTCCTGTTTGTAGCCGTACAACCAGAAAGAACCACCTGTGGTGCGTGTTGTTGAAGGGCCTCTTTTCTCTGAAGTGGTGGCACAATACCAGCATTTTCAGCAGACCATACGCATACACAATGTGCCAGGTAATAAACTTACAAAGATGCACAATGGCTTTGACTCCGATCGTTTTGTTTATAGGTTAAAAACATCAGATGATGCAATATGACGAGCCAATCTGTTGAGGAAAATGTCAGTTTAATACGTTTTATTTTGGTTTTGTGTTTCTCATGCTGCATTTTTAGGGGTGGATGGTTTATCTATTGACATGACTACAATGGTAGACATCAGAGATCAGACCAACAAGGAGCTGGCCATGCGACTGGTCACCAGCATTCAGAATGGAGATGTCTTCTACACAGACCTCAATGGCTTCCAGGTCAGCCACACTTTGTCCTGAGAACTTTGACTTCTCCACATAAAATCAGAATATGACCCGAGTTTGTCTTCTGGTCTTGTAGATTCAGCCTCGTCGGTACCACCAGAAGCTTCCCTTGCAGGCCAACTTTTATCCGATGCCCAGCCAGGCGTACATCCAGGACAGCCATCACCGCCTCACTCTGCACACTGCTCAGTCTTTGGGCGTCTCCAGCCTGGAAAGTGGTTTGTGATTATTATTATTTTGATTTGCCTTTAAATTGTTTTAGAAGTGTTATTTTTACAAGTTTGGCCCCTTAAATTTCCCTTATGGTGCTTTGCTACTGTCAAAACTTTCGACACCAGTTAAGGGACTCTACTATTGGTATCCACCCCGCTCAGCCCAGTTAATGGGACCACCTTGAGGTTCCAAGCGGGCTGCTACGAGGGCCTGAGTTTGACAAAAGTTACATCACTGGATGACCAGACCAGCAAAACTGCAAACTGAACTGCCACTTCGTGTTGACGGACGGCGCCACAAGAATTGAGCACATTTGCAGAGATATCAGAGATGATGGTGCAGCATGGCTACACCCGGACTTATCAGCAGTGCAGAGATGAGCTAAAGAGTTCTAAATATAAGAGTATATATCAAGTCGCATTATAGAGTGAGCAAGGACCACAACGGGCAGAGTGGCTCAAACACAAAAACCCCAGTTAGGATCCTGCCCACAGAGTGGGAAACGGGTCAACCTCCACTGTAGTGGCAAATCACAAACACCTGAGAAGAACCGAGTGGAGCCGCACTTAGTGAGGCGGCTTTAGAGGCTCTCGCAGTGAAAAAGGGCATGCCTTCATGCTGTGCTCTGAACTGAACTGAATTATTTTTCCACTGATGTCTGGAAGATCAATACGTAGACTTGACTTCACAGCTGTTGTCCCTGCTTCTTCCCCGCCCCCTCAGGCCAGCTCGAAGTGATTATGGACCGGCGCCTGATGCAGGATGATAACCGCGGGCTGGGTCAGGGCCTGAAAGACAACAAGAAGACAGCCAACCGTTTCAGGCTCCTGCTGGAGAGGAGATTCACCGGGAACAAGGTCAGCATGGTGATGGCAAATGTGCATTTTGAAACTAGGTGAATATTGTTGAAATTCTAGCTAATGACCTTTTGGGTCGGTGTTGAACGACTCCATGCAAGCTTGTCCTGTGTTTCCATTAACACGTTATGTATATTTTTTTGTCGGTGCTCGTTATCATCCAGTCTCTTTTTATCCTCTCCACTTCCTAATTTTGTTTCCCCTCTCTGCTTTGTCTCCACTCCATTACCCTCAGCATGATGGCTTCTTTGCCAAACTCTCGTCCTTGTTTCGTTCTTTCATCTCTGAATTGTTGAGTGAAGGAGTTCGCGAGGTAACGTTGCCTTGGCAACAATGAGGATGCTTTTTAGCCTCCATCATTGCTGCCTCCATAGTGGTAGTTTGGATTTTGTGTCTTTATTCGTCCCTCTGCCTCATAGGTGTAGACGTTCAGTCTCTTATCCTTCTAGCACAGCTGAGAGAAATTAATGACACAATTTATCAAGTAAATGAATTGACATGAGCAGAGGATGGAAGACGCTGGTTGCAGTTTTATCATCTTCCTGCTGATGGGCCTACGGATGAAGTAACACTCACCTGTCACAATACATCACATTCTGAAACATCTTAACACTCTTTTAATGTGACATTTGACGTCACAAGTGTGTGATTAGTACCGCGTCTGTCGTGAGTAGAACTGTTCCTTTTACTCTGACAAAGTAATTATATCTTGTCCCTCATGTTGTAGCACAGAAGCATCTCTAGGTGAGTTGTTGATGCTGGAATAATTAAGACGATCAATTAAAGCAATCTGCACCCTCCTACAGATGATGGACAGTCCAACAACTAGCTTCCCGTCTATAGTCAGTCACATGACCGCTGCTCTCCTCAACCATGAGGTCTTGGCGCTGCCCGTTCTGCCGAAAAGACGCGGCGTCCCTCCTCTACAAACCTTCGTCCCGCTCAAGTCCGTCCTCCCCTGCGACTTCCACCTGCTGAACCTGCGCAGCATCCAAACCCAGGTAAGATGGCTGTACATACACAAAGGTGATGGTTTTAGATTATTGTTATGCATTGTTGTTCTTTTTTGTGTTTCTGTGAGCAGAAAGACCCCCTGTCTCCGTCTCCTTACACAGCCTTGATTTTACATCGTCTGGCGCTGGACTGTGGCTTCGAGGCTCAGAACCTTGGCTTCAACTGTACCACCACAGAGGGACAGGTCAGCATCATTTACATTCGTTTTAAATGTGCAAAAATAGAAAGGATGATCGACCTGATGAGGCTTTTGTTACTTTATTTGCTTGAGCTTGTTTGATGGGGGATAACTGGTGTATTTAGGGGCTGTAATCTCCTTCAGGCTGTTTTTCTGTACCTCCTCTGTTTCCACTGCATTTATCAGAGTAAATGCACATTACCAAGTAGAAACTTATTACAAAACCAGACACGTTCAGGGTGGTGGAAACATGCCTTTAGGAGTTTTTTATGTTCCTAAATATGTCTGCACAAAGTTATTTTATTACCCTGTGTTGAGAATATATTAAATATAATATAATGGTGTGTGTTTGGGTTTCTGAAACAATGTTGGCACTCGGCTCGGCTGCACAGGCACATTAAATGAGATATTACAAAATCCATGTTTTTCTTTTTATTAAACCAACTTGTTCAGAGCTGAGTGCATCATTAAGTTCAGCACAGACGTTGTACGGAGGCATTCTGCGCATTTTAACATGAGCAAGGTCAAATAAGTTTAACTGTGGAGCACTACGTTAAGGGAATTATGTTTTTTGTACAAACTACATGAACTTCGTTCACTTCCTCCCTTTGCAGCTGAGCATATCGAGTCTCTTCAAGAACGTGGACCTCCATCTCCTCCAGCCCATGTCTCTGACTCTGATGCAGTCCAGCAAGCCTCTGGCCAACGACTCCACCATCAGTCTGGACCCCATGGAGATCTCCACCTTCAGGATCAAACTGCGCTAAGAGCCGTCCAGAGTAAAAACCATCAACGCACCTCAGACTCCTTGGACCAACATCTGAGCCCGAGCCAGCCTAATACTGGCAACAAGTGAGTCTGGGTTTGCCTGTGTTGTTAAGCAGAACCACAAACCTACAGCCTGGAGAAGGGTCCGCTGTAACAGGACAGGCTGCACAGCAGGGGGCAGGCGGTAGCTGTTACTTCAGAGCGTGACAAAAAAAACAAACAAACCCTGGTGAGTTTAGCAGCTGCTCCAGATCTGGAAGGACTGCCATAATCGCTCATCAGATACAACTGATTGTCTCCACAATCAAAAATGAAATCTCTTTCAGTTCTGCTTTCTAAGAACTTGCCTTTTTTTTTTTCAATTTGTTTCCGTCCTGCACTAAAGTACTGAATGTAAATATCCCAACCGGTGGAGGAGAGAGGCCGGGACTGGTGCCACATGAAGAGTGCAATTCACAAAGCTTTATTTGATGTATGGGGTTCTGTTTTTATTTTTCAAACGTAGTGGAAATGGATCACCTTCTTTCCCCCCCCCCCCCCCCCCACCAATCAATTTTCAGTTTTCGTTGTATTTTTGGTGGAACTTGAATGCAGCAGACAGAATGTGTGTTTTCATAAGTCCTGAGCTGTTGAAGAACTTTACACCAGTCTGTACGTGACGACGGTGTGATCATTCATCATATAGGACGACTTTCCTCATGTCTTCTGTTTCTGCTTGTAGATAGTCAGCTGGTTTTTATGTCTCTACGCGCTAATGAGAAAATTACGACGCGTCTGTGCCTGTCGGAGGCGTCGGCCATTTTTGAGAGGGGTGTTTGTTTGTGTAGCGTTACTGTATGCAGTCAAAGACTATACCTCATGTACCACGCATTGGTGTGTATGTCTGAAGAGTATGTTCATGTGAATACTTGAGGCTTATTATCGTCGATGTACACTATCAGGGACCAGTCATAGTACTTTTGCTTTTGTCTGGAGTCATAAAGCAAAAAAAAAAAAGAACCACTCATTGGTGAATATTTAGAAGAGTAAAGGGGTCAGTCACTCAAAATGAAAACACAATTTACCCATCTCCATATGGATTTAATTTATTTTTAATTTTGTGAGTGCAAACAGGTGCTTTTCTGTTAAGAGGGATGCTTTTTGGCAAGATGTTGTTGAATCACATTACAAGATTCGAGGCCAAACATGACTAATTTTTATTAACACTTGAATTTGTACTGCCTAAATATCCCTAAATATAACATTTATACATGTAAAACAAAACACTTTTTTTTTAATGCAAGTATTCTCTGGGTAAAAAGAATATATTTTTTTCATATCTGCGTAACAAATAAACCAAAAAAAAAAAAAAAAAAAAAGAGACCAGAATGCCGGTGATGCTAAAATGTATTTTCTGCCATCGTCTCAATCTGGCATCAAAACAAACACCAAATACTAATTGTACTAACAGTGTGTACTTCTGTCGAACTCGCAGCTCACAGGCCCAAATACAAACGACATATCAACCATAAATACTAGTGAACATTTGAGGTTTAGGATCAAATTTTTTGTGCTGCATAATTTCATTCATGCCTAAATTAGATGATTTCTTGAGATCAGTTCATGTGATGAGTTTGTTCTTAAGAATTGTTGAACTTGGTTCTGCAAGACCTCCATCATGACTGAAAGAACATTCCTTTAATGTTTTAGGCCGTTTCTCAAAGCCTTAATCGTTTTTGTTTTTTTCCTTCTGGGCGTTCAGATCGTGAAAGAGGACCAGTTTTAACAAACACCGTTTTTGACCTTTTGTTATGAAAGAGAACGGCAATTATTATTTTTTATCAAGAACAAGTTATTTCTTTCTGTACTTCTGAGAGTCATTTTGTTTTACTGACCACAGCAATAGGTTGGATCAAATCACAAAAGTGGATTCTCAACTCAATTTTTTTTTTTTAATTTTTAATAATTTTTTAATAATAAAACAAACCAAGCTGCAGTTTCAGCTCTGCAGTTTATTAATTTTTTTTACTTAGTTTTATTTTAACCTTGTCTTCAGACAGTCTGTGCTGTTTCCAGCTGCTGTGGAGGAGCTCGTCTAGTGTTGAAGCTGGACTTCTCACCGTCATGTTGCACCTTACCATCTCCCCCTGCCCTGATGACTTTGTGTCATCGTAGATATGGTTTTCTAGAGGTCAAAATGTCAGCGCCCCCCCTCCAAACACACCTCCCTCCAGCTGTGGGAACCATCTGTCAGAGCAGACGCCATCACATCTTTATTTGCACTTTCCCCGGTGTTAAAACCTGCTTTCTCTGTACCTCTTTATTTTTAAATGTCTGTGAAGCGGTTTCTTTTGTTTGTTCAAAGGTAATATAAGGCAGCGATTTAAAGAATGCTGAAGGGAGTGGGGTTAAAAAAATAAAATATAAAAAAACACTATTGTCTGGATTCTTTTTGGGAATCTTTCTGTTGTGACTTGGCTTAATAAAGTTGGTCAGTAGGGGGCAACATTGAGTCAGTTTGTCCAGCCTTCAGAGGCTGAGACATCCTCCCTCAGGTTTGTCTCAAACTTGGACAATCCGCTGAAGAGAACAGTCTCAAGCTGAGCATTAAAGCTCCTCAAATATATTTTGCTCACCCCATGTTCACCACCCTGAGGCAAAGATGCTTAAAGTGTCGGTGACGGCAACGAGCAGGAGCTGGGACAAAAAAAAAAGTTCTACAGTACCTGAAAGCACATCAGGTGCAAAGAGAAAAAAGTGGCGAGGACAAAACTGCTCCCACGACGTTGATGACAGCAGAAGAGACGTAGTGGTTGTCTGAAGGAGCCTTCAGTGGAGGCTCAGATGTTCATGGTGAGTGTTTTCCTGCTTGTTGAGTGGAAAAGACGGGATCAGATTCTGCCTGAACACATCTGTGACCTGTAATGTTCAGCTGATCTAAACGTGAAATCAGCTGAAGGGCTTCTGATTTGTTGCTCACCAGAGAAGGTGAAAAGGTAACATAAAAGTTCATGCTCAATAATCCAGGTAAAAAAAATCCATCAGTTAAGTCGGGTCTTCTGGACGGTTTCTTTGTGTTGAAACGTTTAGCTTTTCATCCAAAGGACTTCATCAGTTTGAGGAGCCACAACAAACTCGGTCTTATTAAAAGCACCTTGACATAGTGGGTCAACCAGTTTGACGTCTTTTGGATAAAAGACAAAACGTTTCAAAAAAATAAACTTTCCGGAGGACCTGAAACTTTGTATTCATCCATCTGGACAGGGTTTGATTTGTAAACCGATCAATGCCGGAACGCAAATAGCGGGGGTGGGGGTCTGTTGGTCCACCCCCAGTAAATTTTGAATAAAGTACAGCTTTTTTATTTGTCTGAAACGTATGAGTTGTGCACGCTCTGTAGAGCTGTCTGGAGATGCTCCTGTGCGTAACGTGCACTGTCTGCAGGGCACGACGCTGAAAGTGTTGACACTCCAACCCTGTGGGACATGCCGTCTGCGTCTCTGCTGGACATGAACGTGTGTGTGTGAGCTGGTGCGCGTGCTGCGGCCGGAACATCCACTCCACAGACTCCTTGTATTTTTAATCAATTTTATTAATAAGCCACTTAAAACTGTCAAACTTATTTGCGATTTAGTTGTGCTGTTAATTATAGTTTTGAGTTTAATAAAAATGCGCAATGTCTTTGGACTTTTTAGGGGTGGAGATTTGAGTTGCCGGATCCGAGCAAACCGTTGTCGGAACGCACCCCGTCAAATTAAGAGTTCCCAGATTTTGTTCCGGTAGGATCCAGCCCAGATTAAGCACTGCACCTGGATTATTGAACATGAACTTTTGATGTTTTGAACCATTTTGGTCATGACTGCCTCAAAAAGTGTTGGCGGGGGAGAAGACAGACTCCAGACACCATCAAACTGGTTGACCCACTATGTGAAGGTGCGGACGTTTCAACAAAAATAAACCGTCCAGAAGACCTGATTTAACTTTGTTGGGTGAAAAAGTAACGTTTTTGCTGTCCGCATTTATTTTTAGCAAAATATCTCAAGAACCACTGGAGACATTTTAATAACTTTCAGAAAGTAATTAATAGATGGACATCTAGAACGGCTCAACTTATCAAGTGAACCCAATTAAAATGGCTGTCAAAGCCAACTTACCTTATCAAACACAAAAATGGTTATAACCCAGACACTTTGAAAGATATGGAGATAAACTTTAGTGGTAGTAGCTGAGAGTCATCCCCAACACATTAAGCTCTAACAGTTTAGCTTAAATCTGACATGAAAATCATTGGTGCAGTTCTTAATTAGTTGTTGCCTTGTCTGTCAGTCAGTCCAGTCGAGTACATATGTAATTATTACCAGCTAAAGCAAACCAGTGAACTAATGCACAGCTTGTAGAAACGCGTAATGAGGTGAAGGGTTTCCACACATGCAGCATAAATAATGTGAAACGAGATGTATCCAAGGGGCACTTAAATGTCTCGTGTTTTCCCAGCAGGTCTAATTATGACGCGCGCAATGAATGCACCTCTGCCCACGAACCCAGTAACCTGCACGTTGATGGAAAGGGAAGCTGCTGATCAGCCATTCCAATTTCTGGAGAATTTTTAAGGCGCACTCTTGCGAACAGTTGAAGGCGTTTCGGCTGCAGCTGGATAACGGGGAGCAGACCGACAGAAGGATGCCGGCACGTCGACAAAGCCCAGCGCTCAAACGAACGTCTGCAGCGGTGACGTACGGCCGCGAAGAAGCGAGGAACCATCTGCTCCGTTGGGTGCTGCTCGTGTTTTGGGGGCTGAATTTAAAGTTTAAACACCTGGCAGTAAAAGAGACAAAACAGCTCCAATTATGAAACAGTCTTTTTATTCCAGCATAAAACTGTTCTCCACGACTTCTCAAGCTGTTGTCAGTTAAATAAAAAAAAAGAGCTATAAAACAAACATAGAAAATGTAATACAAGTTTTTTTCTTTTGTTTTTCTCAAAAGTGCTCTCATTGTTTTTGTGGCCTATAGTTCTGAAGGCTGATTCATTGTGTGTAGTGGTGAGTCTACACAGATGGGAAATATGCGCCATCTTTATGTACGATGCTGACAATAGAGGGAGGGAGCTTCTCCTTGATCAAAATGTTCTGGAGGAGAAGCTCCAAAATCATGATAGAGCTGCTCAGATGGAGAACATGAGCAGAAAATGATCACCAGAAGCAGCTGACTGGGACAATGTTGCCAAAGGTCAAACAAGCAGCTTTGGGCTAAGTGCTTTTATAATATCATTGAAATCAGCGCTCGTCTACAAGTCGATAAGCTTTTCTGAACCATTTATCAGATACGTCTCGACTGAAAACAACATCCTCCACAGTTTCCTGCTCAAACAGCCTGCGGGGTGGTTTTTTTCTTCTTCTCCCCTATATAGCATCCCACTATGCTGCAGAAATCTTCAATTTAAACTTTTCCAACTCATAAAAAGCAGCAACCTCTCATCACCTCAGACTGCCAGGAAACTGGAAATGTAACAGCAAAACTATCGAAGCTCGGTTTGTGTTCTGATAAAGCACCGAGCTGAACGGTTTACTTTTCACTGCGATTTCACTGAACTCCTTAAAGACCCCAACCTGCTGTCCACGCTGAGGTGAGAAATCTGTATTGATAGAAACGGGATTAATTTCATATTTGAAACTAGGCCTGTCACGATAACAAATTTTGCTGGGCGATTAATTGTCTCAGAAATTATTGCGATAAACGATAATATTGTTTGAAATTTGACAATAATTAGTAATTGTCAAATTTAAGAAAAAAATGCTGGTAAATTTTTGTGTGTAGTACCTTTTTTGACCACTGGATGGCAGTATAAGACTGTTTGAACTGAAGGATGGATAGTGAGGGAGTGAGCAGCGTGTCTAAGAAAAATGGGAGGGAGGCCCCTTGATGTGACATGGGCTGTCTCTCCTTCCTGTTTTTCAGTCCTCAAAATGGCGGACGCTTGGTGTGGTTTGAACTCTTTAGCATAGAATTTTTCACACAAAGCTTTTAATAAAAAAATCAGTAAACAAGTTCTCAGCTTCTTTTTGCAGAGAAAAACAACTTTTTACACGAAGGCACGGGTTTCAACCGTGAATTTTGGAGCTTCGACAAGACGGAGGGTTTTTCCCCGAGGTCAGCCTGTTAGCTTAGCTCATAGCTTAGCTTCTCAGCTTAGCTGCTTTTAATGATCCAAAAACACGATTTTGAGAGAAAGGGAGGGGTCAGTGAAGAGCACCGGAGTTGAGCCTTTTGTCATCCAGTGTCTTCAGTAGAACGAGAGACAAAGAAATGATGACGCCGATAAATGAAAATGAGGTCGATAATTTTCATTTATCATGCGATTAATTGATTTATTGTTTATCGTGACAGTTTTTAATGTAGCTTTTTAAAAATCTCTTTGTTTCAAATAGGCCTGTCCTGCAAGTATGCAGTTTAGAGCTGAATTTTCAGTTGCATTATGGGAACTAAAGGATCCACCATTTGTACGGTTGAAATGATGGATATCTTTGTGGCTAAATTTGATAAAGTGTCCAAATATTCAGGAATGCTTCAAGATGAGTAAAATACTTGCATAACACCTAATATCGGTGACACAGAAGTAAAGACATAATAAATATTGATAAATTAAAATATTGTAAATAAATACATGAAGGTTGAATGAACAGTAAGGCCTGTTTTTTTGTGTTTCAGCTCTGATGTCACTCAGGACGCCGTGGTGTCACCACAGCAGGTGAAGCAGCTTCGGCTACATCGAGCTCTGCGTTTTGATAAAAGCTGTCCTCTCGCTGTGACTGTCTACATCCTCGCCGTCTGATTCAGACTCGTAGACAATCGTGTCCTCGTCCGCCCACACAGTGGGGACCCCCTTGTAGCAGATTCGAGTCTTCCTCTCCCGTCTCCGATGGAAGCTCAAACCAAAGCCCACATGCATCCCTCGCGTCTCTGAAAGCACAGAGGGGAGTTTGGTCCTCCAGGCCACAGAAGCGTCGCCTGAGCGTAACTGTAGCAAAAAGAAGACTCCAATAAAGGCGGCCAGGATGAAGGCACAGCTGAGAACTGCCACGACGACAGGCAGCTGAGTGGGCGGAGCCACACCGAGCCCTGGGAGCTCCTCGGTTTCTCCGTTTTTGTTGCGATTTGCTGCCGCCGGGCTTTTGGCCTCCAGCTCGTTTTCTTGACTCTGGAGTCCGACCGTGAGGGGGGACTTCCGCTGGACCTGGTTCTGGTGCAGACAGGAGGTGAGGACCAGGTGGCTGTGAGGCGGGCAGGACAGGCAATCTGTGGGTCCGGTGCCGGAGCAGGTGAGGCAGGCCGGGTTGCAGGGCAGGCAGGCCTGCACCGAGGACAGGTCCACCCAGTTCTCAAGAGACAGGTTGAGGAGCTGTGGTCCTGACGTGAACCCCGGAGGACACAGCTTCACACAACCCTGAAGGAAGAGGGAGAAGCCAGGGCTGCACTCTGAGGGGACAGGACGAGACAAAAAAAATACTTAAAGGATTAAAAGAAATGTGGCTGACTTAGGACTTTTGCACAGTAAGCTATATATTTTTTAGATAAACCTCTAAAATCCCTGACTGCCATAAGACAACCATTTAAACACTGTAATGAAACAAGATTTTGTTACAAACATCCATCATATGGTTTAATAACTTGATTACATGTTTTCACTGAAGTTTTCCATCTACCCTGAAACACAAAGGATTTTCTTCTTCTACACTCTGAGAGACGGAGCACTCTTCTGGCAACGGACACCGCCAGTAATTGGAAGAGGCACTGATTGTATCAGATAAACTTCTTGTCCTCTTTCATCCTTTTCACAAACCTTCAGTTGAAACGTTCAGTTTATGTAATATCTGTTAAATCTTATTTAACTTGTTTTCAGTGACAACATGCAACAGCAGACTAGACATGAAAATGAGGATTTTAGTTTTTTTAGTTGGTTCAAATGTAGTTACCTTTAAAACATATGCACATTAAACATCGAAGTTCATGCTCAATAATCCAAGTAAAAATTCCAACAAAGTTCAGTCAGGTCCTCTGGACGGTTTCTTTTTTTGTTGAGACGTTTCGTCCTTCATCCAAAGGACTTCATCAGTCCCAGGAGTCACAACAGACTCAGTTACACAAGCAGCACACTCCCATAGTGGATCAACCAGTTTGCTGGTGATAAGATGGTTTCTGGGGCCCACTATGGTTAAACTTCCTGGTTGGTCCACTATGAGTGTGCCGCCTGTGGGACTGAGTATGTTTGTGGCTCCTTGAACTGATGAAGTCCTTTGGATGAAGGATGAAACGTCTTAACAAAAAAAGAACCCGTCCAGATGACCTGACTTAACTTTGTTGCACATTAAACATGTTATCATACTGGCAATCCAAGTTTAATTATAACAATAAAAAAATCTATGCAAGTAAATCCACTGTTAATAAATTGTTCTCTTCAGATTGTTCAATAGATTTCACCAGATATTTTTGATTTTAACAAATCTGCCCAATAGTAATTACCTTTCTGCACATGCATGTTAGACTGATTGGTAACTCTAAATTGTCACTAGGTGTGAGTGAGAGAGTGAATGGTTGTTTGTCTCGTTTGTCTCTATGTGTCCCTGTGATGGACTTGCGACCCGTCCAGGGTGTCCCCCGCCCCTCGCACAGTGACTGCCAGACACAGGCACCGGCGACCCCCATGACCCAAAATGGAAGAAGCGGGTAAAAGATAATGGATGGATGGACAGGCAAATAATTTTACTAGTTTTTATTTTGTAGCTTCATTATCTTTTTTTATATATCTATCTAACTTATTATTACACTAATCCTTCACTATTTGGCGGTTCATTTTTCACAGACTCGCTCTATTGCGGGTTTTTTAAAATTAGAATGGACATGACACACAATGGCTGATTGATGGAAGAGCCGCACAGTCGGCATGGATTTTTATTTCAAATAAATTATTTTAAATGATTTTGCACCTGTGTGCAGCCCATAGCTGTGGGAGAAGCTACTCCTGCAGCTGATCAGCTGATCTCTGCATGGAGAGCAGAGAAGTGGGCGTGACTGAGCGTGCAGCCAGAGGCAGGGAGCTGAAATCATGATATTCTGTGCTCTTTTAGAGCGTTTGGAGTTTAGAAACAATGTTTAGAATATCGCAAGAGTGTGGGAAGGGTTTAAAATGCCTAT